GGTCACCTGATTGCACAGTTACGCCACTTTGATTGTGTCTTGGAATCCATTAGGAAAGCCATTCTTACATGTATACACAACACGGCATTCACCTTAGGCTGTTGGAGCAATTGGTCTTGTAATGAACAGTTGGCTTGAGACCAACACAGCACCATTTCTCATGCAACTGTGACCAGTCATGGTATCGCCTAACACGTATAGGAACACGCAAGAAAGTCAATACGGCAATGCACACACAATCGGCACATGATTATAGGACAAAAGAAACTACAGTTGGAATTGACTGATACAAGTACGCCTCGGCAAACTGTAATGTGTGAACGAGATTTGGGGCACCTANCACCTAGAGGTGCCCTGATAATTTGGTCAAACGGCACACACTGAACTTATTGTCATATTTCATCAAAATCGAGACGTCAGACAATGATTACCAATGATAACAAGCATCTGTACATACAAAAGAATCATAACTATTGAATATGCCCACACGACCCTTCGAAGATGCCTTATCAAGCAACCTCTTGATTTTCTGTATTAGAATAGGCGTTTCCACTCGAGTTGGAATCCTAGTGGATCAAATGGTGGATGAATAACTAGACCTCCACTTCGCTGAACGCACCGCATTGCGTTTAACCTCTTGTCAAAACCAAAGGCTTTGGTTGAAAACCCCAATCGTATTTCTGTTCCGTGGTGTCACTCCATAGTATTACCCACCCATTCAACTCTAATGCATACACAAAACAGACATAATTCCATACTACATCGGACGTTGAGCAGGATAATTAGGACTACGTTGCATCGAGCGGGGGGATAGTGATAAGTGGGCTGATGCTCGGAAATCCCTCTCTTGGTTAACTTTTTTCCTCTTCCTTTGCAACTTCTTCCGAGTCGTACATTCCAACGAACAACTTGTTTGTCACTAGCCAAAGCTCGTTGCTAAGAATCACTGTAAGTAGTTTGCCACATTTCAGATAATGAAGTCTCGTTAAGCTCTGAATCTGGAGGCCCTCAATATAGGGGCTCTGAGGAGGATGATCCCATAAGCTTGTCTGACACGTAGAATTGGCTCTCTAGAAATTGATTTATACTACGTTGAGGAGAATTGAATTCAGGATCCTTGTACTGTAAGCCACTTAAGTGCATTGAATTGGTCCCCGAGATACTTTCTCCGCAACTCAGGTGACGTTGCAGCTAGTTCAGTAGGTTAGCATATAGTAAGTATCGCAGTGAGCAATCAAGCTGGTGCCTCACTCGTTGGCTGGATCCCTATCAACATTTCGTTATGTGTGATGCGGTCCATGGGTCAATCGGTGTCCGGGAGGGAAGCAACACCGAAAACCGTTTTTTAATCATCCCAGCATATGTACCAACTTCCTGCACAGGGCTGAAGCACCTTTGGCGTCCATTTGAAGTTTCACTGAAGTGGAGAGGTTGGAGTACTGTTCAGTCAGTTCTGTATTACAGTTGAGAGCTTGTATTTGCGAGTAAAAGACATCCATCGACTTGACGTTTACAACATTCGATGATCACGCCATTTGTTCAAGAAGTGATGGAGTGAAAGAGCTCGTCACTTAGAGTTCAGACATGTTGTTTGGAAATTCATCGGGGAAAAATTCACTATCACTTCAAATTCAGACTGATAGGCTTCGGTGGTTAGCATACGCATTGCGCAGGCCTAACTGCCGTCGGCCACAACGCGCCCTATTCGTTCTTGCTGCTCCGGGTTGGAGGGAAACACGTGGAGGTTTAACATGACATGGAGACAAGACATAAAGAGATGCACAAAGCTATAATAAAGAGTAGGCGTCTTTCGTCTTCCAGGATGGGATCCAAGTATTACTAACTGGTTGGTTAGATAAACTGAGGGATATGGCAGCAAATCGATAGCAGTGGCATTATCGTCGCCATTTCTGAATCAGTCTGAATTTTTGAAAAGATGTGTATGGGCATTTACATTGTGTACTCCCTGTGTTTATCGTAGATCCTCACTTTCTTTAAACCTTCTGTATAATGAGCCCAATCCTAGTCCACCCTATACATGCACGCTTACTTTGTATGGAGTGTGAACTTAGCAGGAATAAATAAATTACGTTCCACCGTGTTTCGCTGTAATATTATAATGAGTGTTCGTGTCCCGCAATTGATTGAGAAAACCCACTTCACCTACAGTTTCCCAATTCCATTCAAATGTCTGAACCCCCCCCCCCTCTCTCTCAAGCGAGGGGCATGAGCGGGACATACCTTAGTTATCACCACAACATAACTATCCGGTCAATCTATTTTATTGCATGTGTGAATATTTCATTAATCACCAGTTTTTGGCCTCCGAAATCCTTAGCATGGTCGGGGGTGGGTGTCTAGGGTTGCGGCTGATCACCCGTCCATTGCACCTTACGAAATGCTCCCAGACGACCAAGCGTCTCAAACAGCCTCTGCTGAGGAAGTCCTAATCACTGCCTTCTCGTGGCGGTGTTTCCCAACCAAAGTGAGAGGACGAAAAGCCGACATCCGGGTTGGTGAACCACTGATAGTTTACCTAGGAGAGTTGGCCGAAAACCCTGAATCCAAACCAACCAAGAGGAGGCGTACGAATCACACACACACAACTTCCTGGTTGTGGCACCTTGGACGTTTGACCCAGTCCGAAGGGCGTATAATCCGATGAACTGGACACTGGCCCCAATGGATGGCGGTTTTCGCACACCGCCCCGCTGCCTTGCGGGTCAGGCTTTGGTTAGTCAAAGGCTCCGGTTGTGGATTCCCCAAGAAAATTCACCTGCCTTGGCCTGAGCAACCTGGCAATTTTCGGCCCACTTGCAAATCGTGGAGCGTTTTTCATTTTATGAAGATTATTGCACCACGATTTGTTTGGCACAGTCTGGCATCAGACGTGTGTGAAATATGATATATAAGTCTTTGATATCAAATGTCCCACCAGTTCGGTGAATCAAGATCCAACGTAAGCTACCATCTTTGCCCATTTTCTTCTTTTACCTAGGTGTTACATTCGCAACCTACTCTATCGATTATCACTTATCACTAGGCAAATAGCGTAACAGGTACGCTCCGCAAGAATGCGTCTGGTAGATCCATTAATTCGGTCATATAATCACTGGTGTGACAATGGGATGTTTCCAGCGTTTGATGTCTGTAACATGTCCACCGTCTGCTTTGTCTTCATCGTGGGACCGCTATGTACAGCCAGCTGGCATTCGGTCCCTATTGTATAATCAATGACCCAATAGTTAGAATGTCATTTTAATTCAAACACCGTAAATGTTTCTGTTAGGACGGAGCTCATCCAACCTATCAGGCCGCGCAAGGATCCGTGTCGCACCACAAGCACGCTCGCGATGCGCAGGCAAGTCGAGTCCGGATCGAATGATTGCAAAACAAACTAGTCAGTGGTTGTCCGATCGACAAATCGGGGTATCAAGATCACAATCTGATTGGTGCCCCACTATGCCGTCCTCATATTCCCATTTACCCCGGATATCTGCGAATCGTATCATGATCATTGAAAACACTCTGACTATTGTATCGAGCCCTGTTCTTTGTCCGCTCTGCTGTTGGAGTTTCAGCAAGAGCTGCTGCTGTCAATCGCACGACTAGGGTGAAACCAACAGTTTCAGCCTACCTCAAATAACTGTATCCAACAGCAAACTGTACTCGAAATCAGGAAAAGACGCCGGACAATTTTTGAGTCAAATTAAGGGAACATACAAAGTGAAAGATGTGTCAAGATGAATATTCATCGCGGGAGCGCAGTTACAGACGCTTAAACAAGTAATACCAAACCATTTGTGCGAATTACTTGGAGAACTTATTTGAGGATAAACTTCAATGGCACTGTTCTGCCACAAATGAGTACGAGCTTGTAAACTGAAACCCAACAATGGAGTATAAAATAATGAGAAAACAGACCAAAAGAAACTAACCATCATATCTTTAGTATTTGACAGCCATGAATTCAAAATTAATTCAACTGCAGCACAAGTGTGCGGGGATAACAGCTCAACGATGGTGTCCCAAGTAGCCGGAGAATCGTCATTGATCGAAAGATACTCCAACGCTGAGTCACAATACTGACCCAAAGTAACGACCAAAGCCAAGCGAATCGGATCCTCGACAGCCTGCGGTAAGTATTTCATAGTTTGTGTCAACAAAACCGGTAACAATTGCATAATGTTTTTGGCTACACAAAAGTAAGAACAAGGTTGGAGAGGTGACATAAATAAACCGATTAGATAGGATGAAATGCAACGTAAAAGTTTACTTGGTAAAATCGAATAACACAATAATGAATACATACAAGATAATTTCTGGCAATACTAGGGACTGGCTGTCAATATAGTTAACCATTCATCATGACTTTCTCTCATCTTGATGGGGTGTAGTCGCTTGTACCCGTCAATGAACCTACGAGCTATAAAAAAAATGGTTTCTTACAGCCGNCGCAGATCCAATTATGTCAATGTATAGAGGCAAGACAGGGCTTAGCCTCACAAGAGCAGCCTATTGGGCAACTCTTAGTTTCCGGTGACCATCCAATCCCGCTCCAGCAGCAAATAAAAAAGAGGATGGTCGGTCAAAACCTCACTGTAAAATCAGATCACCATCTGTGCAGATGGTTCCGGTTAGTTTTGGCTTTTACGACCAACGACATTCATGCTACAGCTCCGATTGCTACCCGTTTTCATAAGAGTACAGTTACGGCTGGAATCTTCCAATGAGCCAAATAAAAAAATAGAGAATTAGTGAAAGGCATTAAGCAGATNTATTTAAAACACTCAGTGTTTCTGACCATCAATCACAGTGATACCCGGGTTGTCATCGAATAAGCCCAATGCGATCAATGTGAACAAGTCGCCTATATATATATATATCTTTACGGGGTCAAAATAACCATGAGGTGAAAGAAAATTACAGGGACAGAACCAGGAGAGGGGTAGCTTCGCTGCCGTCCGGCTAAATACTACGCCTAATCTATAGGGGCTTTATGTGGTTCCCCACTCCAAGTCCCGGGTTAGCAGTTTCCATCACTAAACAGCAAGTCGTGATTGGGGTTACATGTTCATCACACTAAAAATTATAATAAAAAGAGATCAAACACGAAACAGTCAGTTGTGGGGATAACAACCTTTTGATTGCTTACTGCACACAATTTCGACTTCATTTGTTTTGTTTTATTTTTTTGCACCGCACACACAAAAGAGTGCATTCATTTTACAGACTTCAGTTCGATGCCATATCCTCCAGTGTCTCCATCCAAAGACAATCTGAATTTTTGGGGCCCCAACGGAAGCCAAATCCGAGCACAATCTCTTCAACGCTCTACGCCACGTCACAGCCTGAACACCTTGTTGTAGTTTCCGGCCCAAAACGAAGTTTTCAAATAGCACACGGTATGATAGACTCTGTTCAGGTATTCGTAGGACACGCTTTAGCCAGCTCAGACGAAGCAGTGAAATGGTTTTGCTCCGCGGAGGACTACCTGACTCTAACTCGCCGTCTGACCTCATCGTTATTCACGCGATGCTCCCACCATACGCGAGCGATCTTGCGCAGGTAACGTTTGTCGAAGACGGATAGTCGTTGGACATGATCTGCTCGAAAAGGCCAAGTTTCGCAGCCGCAGAGTAACACAGCACGTGCCG